TCTGCTGCTGCCGGGAAAGAAGGTCTTCACCCAAAGCTCCTCGAAGGGGTTTACTGGGAGTGAAGAATCCAGGAGAGTGGCAGAGGACAGCCTAGGGAAGCCTGGTAGCACAGCTGAACAGATGCAGGGTTTATATAGGGCTTTCAGGGTGGGGATTGGTCAGATTTCAATGCTGAGGTCAGATTGGCTAGAGCTCCTGCTTGAGGACTGGTTAGTTTTCTGCACAGGGTTAGGGTCAGATTTAACTCTGGTTTCAGGGCCAAAGTGTGTTTCTTTCTCTGGTTCTTTTTAGCCTTTTGGCTCCAATTTTAGGGCCAGGGTACATTTCTTTCACTGACTCTGATTCCAGGGACAAAGTGTGTTCCTTTAGCACTAGTTTCAGGGTCAGGGTACATTTCTTTGGTTCTGGTTGCAGGGCCAAAGTATGTTTCTTTGGCTCTGCTCAGGGTGTGTTTCTTTGACTGGTCCCCTTTCCCTGCAACTACTAAAGAAGAAAGCCTTTTAACTGGTACATCCTGGATGAATACTTTTTACTGGCAAGTGACAACCACATTTTGTGACAATTGTCAGCAAAAGGCAGAGAAGCTCTTAGCCACTGGGTGTACAAAAAAGTTGGCACAAACAAGATACTGCAACCCAATTAAAAAGCGAATATGGATTTATAATGCATGATCATCTTTTTTGGCAAAAACTCAGAAAATGGTTCTCCAGGGGTTTGATTAAATGGTCTCATGTAGCGTGCTTTCATTTGCAGCTATAATCTTTAACCTTTTCCTACTTGAAATCAATGCCAAATATGTACCCGAACACAGGCATCAATATTTCAAACGTTCATTTGGCATCTTAGCAGGTTTTCCTCCGGTGGACTTTCCCTTTGGAAAATGCCACGAGGGCCATCATAGAGGGGAAACAAAAAGTATGAGCATGACACTCCCTAAAGTTCTTCCACAGGATGAGCACAGGGAAGGGTCATGGGGAAATAACACTTGAACTTGCTTCTCTGAAAATTACCCAAGTGTTTGATAACTCTTGCTTAGCCCAGCAGTGCATTGTCCCAGGACTCCTTTACGTCGGTCCATCCCATGATGGTTCACATTTCACTAGTCATTGCTTCATACCCGTACTCTACAGCCCTTGTTTCAGTAGGCTGACTGATGATCTTCCTCCAAACTCCAGGTCCCCTTGTCCTCTCTTCTCTTTCTCATGACCCTTACTCAGTCTTGCTAGCATAGCTCTCATTGAGGACTTCAGTCCAAAGTGTGGGGATAAAGGCCATGATTGCAAAACCAGAAAGGGACTGGAGAGCCCCAGTAAAACCTGGCCTGGAAAGCAAACTCCAAACTGAAAACAAAAGCAAGCAAAACAGCTCTTTCTACCCAGACAGCAAAATGGTATGGCCAAACAAAATTAGCTAAGACCTAGTCCTAGAGGATTCCCCTCATTTGCATCGTGGAAACGGTATTCAAGAAATTTCATGGCAAGTGGCTCATCTTACCCAAAGGAAGGTATCTCCTAAATGGAGAACCTTCCTTCCCCCTCACCAACTGTCCATCACCCTACATACCCTAGCAGGTCTTCTGTGACCTCTATGCCCACTGCTCTCTTAGTAATGTACTCAGTAAACCTTTCCTCTACTTTACTCTAAAGGGTAAATTCATTTACAATTTCTAATGCTCCCCACCACACTAGTAGGATGTGGGTGATAATATCTGAACCCATGTGGATGGATCATTTATAAACGGGAGGTGGACAGTTTCTAAGGGTCTTGTATCCTGTTAGGAACCAGGAGTATCTCCCCTACTTTCCTAACAGGACATGCCTCCAGCATCATGCCTAACCTATTTCTCTTCCCACTGTAGAATCCTCATAACAGTGCACTTTAATCAACAAGCTGGCCACCTACATTGCTCCCCTGTATTTTAAAAGAAGGTAGGAGTGGAAATTTGACAGAGAAAAAGATAGGTTTATATTCAGTTTGGTGAAACCTGGGAAGAGAACATTTGCTAGTTTTTTCTGCCTTTCTTGTAGTAGTCATGATTTTAGAGAGAAGAAAAATAAGAAGGCAAGAAATATGTGTGCTAGATAGTTTTATGTCAACTTGAGAAAAGCTAGAGTCCTCTAAGAGGAGGGAACCTCAAGAAAATGCCTCCATGAGATTGAGTTGTAGACAGGCATGTGAGACATTTTCTTAATTAGGGAGTGGTGTTGGAGAACCCAGCCCACTATGGGTGGTGCCATCCCTGGGGAGGTGGTCCTGGGCTCTACAGAAAGCAGGCTGTATTCACTCATATATGGATTTTAGACATAGAACAAAGGATTACCAGCCTACAATTGACACAACCAGAGAAGTTAGGAAACAAGGAGGACCCCAAAAGAGACATACATGGTCCCCCAGAGAAGGGGAAGGGGACAAGATCTCCTGAGCTAATTGGGAGCATGGGGGGAGGGGAAAGGGAGTTAGGAGAAAGACAAGGGGAGAAGAGGAGAGGAGAGGAGGACATGAGAAAGCAGGACTGAACATCAAGTCAGGGGCAAGAATAGAGGAGAGCAAGAAAAGAGATACCATAGTAGAGGGAGCCATTATAGGTTTAAAGAAAAATCTGGCACTAGGGAAATGTCCAGAGATCTACAAGGCTGACCCTAACTAACAACCTAAGAAATATTTGAGAGGCTACCATAAATGCCCTTCCCTGATAATGAGACTGATGACTACCTTAAATGATATCCTAGAGCCTTTATGCAGTAGCTGACAGACACAGAGGCAGACACCCACAGCTAAACACTGAGCTGAACTCTGGAATCCAGTTGCAGAGAGGAAGGAGTGATGAGCAAAGGGGTCAAGACCAGGCTGGAGAAACCCACAGAAACAGCTCACCTGAACAAGGGGGAGCTCATGGACCCCAGACTGATAGCTGGGAAACCAGCAGAGAACTGTTCCAGACCCCCTGAATGAGGATGCCAGTCTAGACATCTGGGGCCTCTGGTAGTGGATCATTATTTATCCCTAGTACACAAATGGATTTTGGAAGCCCACTCCACATAGAGGGATACTCTCTCAGCCTAGACACACGGGGAAGGGTCTAGGCCCCGCTGTTGTTAAACTAAGTTTACCCAGTAATGAAACACAAATGGTCCCACGTGGAGTTTTATTGGTGGACAGGGAAGGAAAGGGGTGGTGAGAGATAACCAACCGGTGCAGAGCTGAGAGAGGAAGATGAGAGAGAAAGATGAGAGAGCGCAAGTGGGCAGGGGTCTGTCCTTTAAAGGGGTCCTTTATACCTGTGTGCAGACTGCTTCTCATGGAACTCTGGGCTGGCCAGAGTGCTGCCTGGGTGCATTCTGCCAGGTAACAGGGCAGGCCAGCATAATGCCTGAACCTTTCATTCCCACCTTTATTTATGATTAAAAAGAGGTGGGGGTGTTAGACATGGTAGGTTAGGAAATAAGGACGTTGGGTTCTTAAGACTGTTTCCTGATGACTTGGGGCATCGACCATCTTTGGCGGATTTGAGAAAGCCAAGGTGTTGCCATGTTTTGAGTAGCTGGTTGCTCCATTGTAGTCCAGCTGTGTGGAGCTCTCTGGTGCCTCTTAGACCTGGTAAAATGTTAGCAGAGTAGAGGACAAAGTTAGGTTAAAATTTTTTTCTTGGGTCCTGGTATTTGAGGGGAAGATTGTAAGATGAGGGAAGGGTTCCCAAGGGGTTCCAAGATGAGTGAAGGGAACCCCGAGACCAGGAAGAGGTTGAATAATATCTGGAGTGAATCTGACCTGTTTGGATGGGCCCAATTCGGCTCCCTGGAATTTACAAAAATCATTTGAGTTTGAGAAAACACAAGTATTAGACATATCAGCAGCATATTTGTGTTAGAAACAACTTGGCTGAAAGCATTAACATTTTTAAAACCGACAGATATTTTTAGCACAATGAAAAGTACCTTAATTTTGAGCTTATAGTTTTGATCGTATATGAACAGTAGCATAATGAAAGAAAGAAAGCTAGAACATATTTTATTCTTTTTAATGTCTTAACTTACTTTATTACATTACCATCTTAGATAAACCTTAGAATATCTGCTCCTGAAATCTGTTTTATGACAGAGCTTTGTCTGTTACTTTAAGCTGGCAAAGCTACCAGCTGTCAAAATCATCAGAGTTCTTGAGAAGGATAAGATTTTACCTGAGACACAAATGGACTTTGGGAGCCCACTCCACATAGAGGGGTACTCTCAGCCTAGACACACGGGTAGGGCCTGGACCCTGCTCCAAATGATGTGACAGACTTTGAAGATCCTCCATGGAAGGCCTCACCCTCCCTGGGGAGCAGAAAGGGGGTGCGATAGGGAGCCAGGGGGGGGGCAGGGGAAGAGGGAAGGTAGCAGGAACTGGGATTGACATGTAAAACAAGCTTGTTTCCAATTTAAATTTAAAAAAGGAAAAGAAAAAAAAAGCAGGCTGAGCAAGCCATGGAGAATAAACCAGAAAGTCGCACCCCTCTATGGCCTGCCATCATGTTCCTGCCCTGCTTGAGCTCCTGTCCTGACTTCTTCAATGCTGAACAGTGATATAGAAATGTAAGCCAAATAAGCCCTTTCCTCCTCAACTTGCTTTTTGGTCCCGGTGTTTCATTGCAGCCATAGAAGCCCTAACTAAGACAAGTTGGTTCCAGGGTTGTGGTACAAGACTGTGGGTTATGGCTGTGGCAGACCTGACCGTGTTGTTTTGGAAAGGATTATGGAATGATTTTGGAACTTTGTGCAAGAAAAGTCATTGAGCATTCCATGCCTGGTGAACTATAGGAGCTTGAAAGACTAGGATGTTGAGGGCAATGCTGTGAAGTTTCAGAGGGAAGTTTAAAGATTCCATTGGAGCCATTTGTTATTTTAAATTAAGATTCTATGGTTCTGGTTAGGTGGGACTGAAGAATCAGCTGTGATTTAATAAAATACCAGAACTACTAAAGTGAAACCTTTCTTTGCTTGGATACCCAATGCAGGTCAGCTGGAGCTGAGAAATTAGCAGCGATTAAGAAGAGACCAGCATGGCTGAGATGAAATCTTCTGAAAGGTGTTTCCTGAGATTCAACACACAGAAGCTGCATTCCAAATAAGGCCAAGGTAGTACTTTGTTCTAGCAACTGAACTTAGTAACATTAAGTCACCCATGTGATTCCGGTTTTGAAGGCTTACAGGGGTCATGGAGAGCAACTGGGGGTGGGCACTATGAGAAGCCAGTGGCCACTGGTGAAAGTGCAGCCTGAGTGGCAGTTTAAAGGTCCAGGATCGAAGGGGTCATGCAGAGAAGTTGAGGCTTGGCACCATGAAGAGAGTCTATGAGAGGCAGAATAACCCAGTATTTGAGATGCCAGTGCAATAGGATGGCCACCAAGAACAGCCGCAGCCCTGGAATAGAACCAGCTGGAACACAGAAGACAAGCCGTGTGTGCTGCAGAGGGTGGAGCTGGAGAAGTGACCCAAGTCCCTTAGAAGAGCCTAGAAGGTCATAAGTGAATCCAGATATTGGATGTTGACTATATCTTTGGAGTTTGGCTTTGCTCTGATTTGGTTGTGACTATGCCCTGTTTTTTTTCCATATTGAAGTAAGGAAGATTTAATTTATTTTTGATTTTACAGTAGCCTACAGTTGAGAGATTTTAAATTTTAAAAGATTTTGGATTTTAAAGGAGACTGAACTTTTAATGTGTTTGAATTTGGAAAGACTTGGGATTTTTAGTTATTTGTATTTTTAAAGTAAGATCTTGGGGATGAATGAGAAAGGGAAAGTTGTGGTTTAGCATTGATGTATTTGTGTGTCAAGCTGACAAGGGGTCAATTGTGCTAGATAGTTTTATGTCAGCTTGACACAGCTGGGGTCATCTGAGATGAGGAAACCTCAATTAAAAATAAAAGCCTCCATAAGATCAGGTTGTAGGCAGACCTGTAAGGCATTTTTGTAATTAGTGATCAATGGGGAAGGGCCCAGTCCATTGTAGGAGGTGCCTTCCCTGAGCTGCTGGTCCTGGGTTCTGCAAGCCAGTGAACTGCAACCCTCCATGGCCTCTGCATCAGCTCCTGCCTTCATATTCCTGACCTATTTCAGTTCCTGACTTCCTTTAATGATGAATGGCAATATGGAAGTGTAAACCAAATAAGCCCTTTCCTCTCCAACTTGCTTTTTGGTCATGGTGTTTCTTTGCAGCAATAGAAAGTCTGACTAAGACAATAAGCACATGTGACTTAACTGTGTAGTCAGTTCTCGGGGTTGTGTGAATAGTCAGTCTTTTCTCTGACTAGAGCTGGGGCTTCAACATTTTCCTTCCCCCAGGATGGAATTCCTGAGGAAATTTTAATTATTTGAGGTTCAATGTTCCAATAGTTTGAAAGCTAATAGGTGGGGGTACATAAGCATCTCTCTTTAGAATCTCTCCTTTCCTGCCAGGTCTTTGGCATTGAGTCATTATTCTATCTTTAGTGTATAAAAGTTGCTGTCCTTCAGCAGCTGTCTGTCCCTACTGAAAACAACGAGAAATGCACCCCAAACTCAACGTTGGTGGGT